TCTGAAGGTCCCAGTTGATCTTTGCTGAAGTTGGTTGATGAAAAAGAACCAGTTTGAGTCAGAGAATCTTGGTGAATGGAAAAGTCAAGGCCGAAGCCTGGCATGAGCTTAGGATGTCCTGGAACATTGTAGCTCACATCTTCTAAGAATTTAAACAAACCACCGACTCTGGGCGGGTCCCTGGTGTGGGGCTTTTAAGGTCGGAGAAGATTCCCGCCTCTCAAGATGAACTTGTCCAATGAGAAAGGCCGGAATCCCAAGTGGGAGTTTTGAGATACTGGGGAGTTTTATGACTCTTTGTGTGGAAGCATGGTAATTTGCATATGGAACTTGAATCGAAATTACTAAAGATTCTCAGGACACTAATATATTGCCTATGTACCAACATATAATATACGCTCTCGTTTAGATCATCAGAAGGCGAATTCATAGATACTAAACATGGTAGGGTTACATATATGTAAGATGACAGGAATGAGTGTTTCCATCACAAGCCTGCATAAAACAGTATAAAATCTCAAAGACAACATACACGATGACCTGAAGGAGAAAGGTTTTCCTATTAATTAATCAGAGAAGAGTACATTTTTACTGTGCACTGTGGATTTCCTATGGAAAATGTAGTGCGAGGGGAAATTCTCAACATGCCATTAGGTCGTAAATGGATCTGGTCTAGCAGAGGTGTCATGGTTGCCATGGGGACCAGGGGGGCCTGGTGTCGTTGCAGACATCCTGGCATTCAGTTTATTGGGTGAGGGGTCTGTGACGACTTGTCAATCTAATGAATAACTGATTTGTTAAATCAAATGAAAAATTGTGTTTGATTGGTCCAGACGCTACATTACTTTAATTTGTTGACAGCCAATGTCCATTGAGTTTTTGCGGGGCCTAGGGTCTGTTGCAAATACAGAAATAAAAAATAGATTAAGACCCACAAATCCTCACCGGTCTAGCGCACTACATCTCGCTTGAGGGGTACGTGTAACCCAAGCAAGCTCTCAAATCAACCAAAGGCCAGTAAGGTTTTAATACAGTGGTGTGAAAAAGTGTTGGTTCCTGATTTCTTATTTTTTGCATGTTTGTCAAACTTTAATGGCAAAAAAATAAGAAATCAGGAAGTGGGCCAACACTTTTTCACACCCCTGTATATCAAAAAGGCTCGAAAGGCCTTTCTAATGAGAATGTCCACTACAGATATTTACTTTTTTTTCAGCCGTACTCTTGCAGCTGTTCATTCATTTCTCCCAACAACAGAGCAATCAGTGTAATCGCTGAGGTGTGGGGTTTGCTGGGGTACGGAAATGTGACAAAATGGCCCCACAGTCAGGCATGAATAATGTTTGTAGGAGTGCAAAACAGAGGGAGGGGAAAAAAAGAGCAAGAGCTGTAATGTGCAACAAACACCAAACATCCCTCCAGGAAAGCGGTTAAAATAAGCCAACTAATGGGCCTGTCTTAAGCTGCTCATTTTCGCCCCCCTCCTCCGACGTCATTGGTGTTTTTATGATAACTGTTTGCTGGCATCAGAATATTTGCTTGTATTAAATGAAAAGACAAGGATAAAGAGAGGAGAGAGAGAGCGTTTAAAACATGTAGCGTAAATCTACATTCAAGTAACCTTAAGCCTGCATGCGGCTAATTAGCATGTTGCCAACTCAAACAGAGCAGCGTTAGCATGTGAACGTATGTTTGCATACGTGTGAGGGGCACAGGGGATATTTAATGGCAGATTTCCAAAAAGGTTGTGGCTTAAATGCTCTATTTAATTGACTAACCCACCAGCATCCAGCCTGCTAAATGGTTAATTAGCACATATGGGAAGACGTGCGCAAACACACACACACACCTCTCAGATGATTCTCACACAGCAGAGATATTAGCGGCATTTTGAGGAGGCAGCAGTTTTTGAGAAGTTAAAGGGGGAGAACGTGGCTGTGTGACTGTGGGTAGAGTAGCGTGTCAGATGACAGCTGAACGAGCAGCCTTGATTTATTAAACTAATTTTAAAAGTTTTGCATTTTCTTCCCTGGCAGCAGGGCAGCGAGTGTGTTCCCCGGCTTCGTTCATCCATGCCCCACTTCCAGCCCTGCGAGAGCTTGCTAAATAATAAATAAGGAGGGGGGTGTCCTCCGTACGAGTTATAAAGGTTTAATGGAGGCAGCGCATTTAACCCAATTAATCAAAGCAGCACTCAATTAGAACGCATAGACTGGGCAGAGAAAAAGTCTCTATTATAGACAATGGATGCTAATTAAAATGAATGCGCTGGCTTATAATACGTGTCAAAGAATGCAGCCCTCAATCCAAACTCTGTTGAAGGGACAATTCAGTCAAAATTAACATTCAACCATTATTTAATTACCTCATGTCATTTTAAAACCATACGCTGTGTGAAACACTGAAGGAGAATCACTAAAAAACCCCTCCTCTGTAGCTCTCAAATCAAAAATGGCTTCAGACAACAGGTTTTACGCTTCATTGAGTGACAAAACATGACAACTAATGATAACACTAATGCAAGGTGGCAAATATGATAGGAAAACTACTGAAGGCAGCACAAGTGAATTAACATTGAATTAACTAGTTAACCTTTGGTCTATTTGCCACACAAAACTATCATTTGACTTCAAAACATTTCGAATCAATCACAAGAATAAAATTCTCCTTTTGGAGAAAGGAGTGAAATGGAATGACATTTTTCATTTCTGGGTGAACTATCCCTTTAATTCACATGAGAAAGGGTTAAACAGGCACTCTTTAAAGCAGATCTGAAATGACTGTTTCAAACATTTATAAAAAAAAACAAATCAAAATAAATTGTATAATTAATATTTTAATTATGGAATGTATAATCAATCATTTATTATAAATGATACATTCACATCATGCACGTCATTTTATTTATTTTTTTATTTTTTATTCATGTGCCTATACTATCTTTAAATCAAACTTCCCATCCATCTTGCAACAACATCTCTTCTCACTCCCAGATGATATGTGAAAATAACAACAATCCAACAGTGGCGGCTCGTGGGTTTTAAAATAGAGGAGGCACACTAATTGTATTGGTCTGGGATCCCTGCCGATTATTATTATTATTTGCTTAACCACTTTAAAATGGCTTTTTGGTTGCTTTTAGTCAGAAAACGTAAAGAAAACGACATACAGCAAGATAATATAACTTCACTTACCTGGCCTATCACTTGAAGCAAACATCCATCCCTTCTTAAAATTCTGTGTTAAAAGAGAGCTGCCTGTTGCACCATTTAATTAAGCCGACTGCTGTAGCCTATATCCAGCTTAGGCTGTTTTCCCTAAATTTGTATATATACTGTTTGAATGACAGCTTGGTAAATCATTTGGCGATCAAATATTCAATATCGCTACTCATCATAAGTACTTGGTACATTATCCAAGTGATTGGTTGATATCAGAAGGGAGGCTAGCCTCCGTTGCAAGGGTTCTTTTCTCAACACTCCTCAGCGCTGAAAGTAAACACTCGATGGTGATTGGCTATTTTATTTATTTTTTTACCAACAGAGGCACGAGAGCACAGCGCTCCCCCAGCCTCCCCCTACCCTTCTCTATTATTAGCGGTTGCAATTAC